AACTCGATAACTCGATATTACTAAGTATAACTCGATATGAGTTGTCCCCCTTTCATTACTGCCTCTTAATCATGTTTTCAAATTGATTTTGTGCAAAAACAATCGTGTTTTTCTAATTTTTGGCGCTGTTAGAACCACCGCAAGGTAATTTTACGTAGTCCTGTGAAGTTTTGTTGAAATCGGTTGAAAAATGTAGGAAATCCGATCCAATATATAAACGTACAGACACACACACAATCTGTGTTTTATAATAAGTAAGTTTAAGGAAATTTCCTGCTTTCTCAGAGCTTCTTTCAAGATTATATAATCAACACCACTTTTCATCAAACACCTTACAACTATCATTTACCATTTTCCATTATATAAGTAAGAAACCCTATATACTTTTATAGAAGACTTTTATACAAATGCCTTTTATAATAATAAAAGCCATTTTCTCACCACTGTAAAGTAGCTACCCTGTGCCTTTTCTATAAATATTTTCATAGTAATTTTTCTGATGAGCTGTGTTCTTTGGTACCTAGACTTTATGAATTTAAGTGTACCACTAGTACTAAACTAAAACAAAACAGAGACATGTTGTTATCAATTGTAAGTATTACAGAAAAGCACCCATCATTGGTTAATTAAAAAGGTGTGTTGCTCTTACACAATAATGCAAGACCACACATTACCAAAATCACTCAGGAAATGATTATGGAACTGAATATGGAAGTTTTGCCTTGTCCTTCATACTCTCCTCACGTTGTATCATCTGTGACTATTATCTTTTCAAATCATTGCAATATTTTTTTAGAGTAAAAACAGTTTAAGTTGCAAAGTGGGTAAAATGAATATTGAGTGTTTTTTTGCATCAAAAACTGAAGAATTTTATGCCCAAGAGTAAATAACTTTCCAAATAGAAAAGAAATGCTTCTTTGGATTTAACTGATATAATTAATCACCTCATTATAGATAAAGTTCATTCTATGTTCAATACTTCTTTTCTAGTCTAATGCAGAGGTTCAAAGGATATTGGCATAGTATGTGATATCGTATAGCTAAATTTGAATTCTAGTCAAGTTTGACGTGCAAAGCAAATATCCTTGAGAAAGGTATGAATCTATCTCTTCTATTCCTGGCTCTAGGTTAAACAGTAGGACTTTTATCTGAAAAAAATCATTATCTCAAAAAGAGTTAAGTTAATCTAATATTCATTCAAAAAAAAATGATTATTCTTACAATCTGAAATGTTTTAGCTTTAAATAAACCACAAAGGGTTGATAAACTGTAAAAAAATGCAATCAATCTATCTATATTCCTGAGATGAGGTATTATAACTACTTATACTATTTACATAGTTAGGACTATTGCCCTCATCTTCATTGTCATATTCACGCTATTTCGGATGTTGTACACTCCAGCCTTCTTCAGGTGATATACATTGGAATTTTGAACTGAACCTTTTATTTCCTCACCGGGATAGATTGTTCTAGTTCCACATGCCATGCCTTTTCTGGATATCTCAGTTTCAGTTATTTCCCTTTATTAACACAACTCTTAGTGCCCTAGACAGATTATGCTGACAGTCATCCCCAAGGAAACATAGCTCAGTGGATAAAAGCATTGGTTGAAGTAATCCAGTGACTTGGCCCGAAGAGTTCTGAGTTCAATACCTGGCCACAGCAGAGATCAACACTTGGACTGTTGAGTTACTATAGGAAAATAACTACCTCATTGGATGAAAAAGGGTTCAATTCAAAATTCCAACGTATATCACCTGAAGAAGGCTGGAGTCTACAACAGTCGAAACATTGCAAATATGACAGTAAAGATGAGGACAATAGTCTAAACAATGTAAATGGTGTAAACAATCCAATCTAACACACAGGCATCTAAAAATTTAAAGGAACTCATACTTTTGATATATCCCACTAGTTAAACTAAAGAAATTAAAATGTCTTAGATGTTATTGAAAAAACATAACTCACCGAGTGATTGTAGCCAAATAAGTAAGCAGACAGGATCAGCAGACTGCATTAAAATATTAACTGTTATAAAAGTGTCAAGTAAACCAAACACTGAACTAATTTTCAAACTCAAAACACAGACAGGATACACAAACTCAAAAAACAACTTTGTAACAATCTAGATGTAAACAAAGCTGTAAACCCTCTAATAAGGATTTTTTTTTTAAACCGAGTAATAAAAAAAAAAAAAAAAGTCCAGGGGGAGATAGTTTTTAGAGCTTTTCATAATCTGAGCAAGAATTCTAGTAAATAAAACATTTTACTTACAACTCATCAAAAACTTAGAAACAGACACAAAAAAAAAAAAAAAAAAAAAAAAAAAAAAAAGCTATCAGCCAATGTAAATAATACATTTAATTGTAGATATGATGATAAATAGCATCTGTTAAAAAGTATATAAAAGCTCAGAGATAGTCTATCAGTAGCAGTCGATGGATTAGTTGACATGGCTAAGTTGGGATGGGGGGGGGCGGCATCATTTTACCTCAAGCATGGCAATAAAAGGTGAGTGCCAAAGAATGAGAAAAAGAAAACATTATTAAGGAAAGAGGAACAATAAAAGAAGATTGTTTTAAGGAGAAAAAGGCTAAAATACTTATCACTGTCCATCATCTATGGATTATGAAGAACAAGGCTATGGAAGAAAAATGAAACCATCAAACCATATCCTAAACAGAAAACAAGGGATTAACCTCTACTCCTGTTCAATTAGTAACAAAATATGAATCAAAATTAACTATTATACTTATTGAAGAGTTGATTTTATTAATCATGAAAAGCATGATTACTACAATGCATAAATAATACAGTTGATAATCAATTTAATTATTCTCAAAGATTGGCAAAAAAGAAAAGGCCATTAGAATATTATTTAAATTCATTCTATTTTTAAAGTAACTCAAACTTCATCAGCCAAGGTGGAATTCCAGCAACGAAACAAACAAGGGCGATCAAGTATAAAATCCCAATTAATTGCCCTCACCCACCATTTAAAAAAAAAAAAAGAAAAAAAAAAAGGCCAGTGACTGATTAACTGGCAGATGCTGATATGACCAATTACTGATTATCAGCAATTAATTGGTGCAACACTAATAAATTGTAAGCAGAACCCCCACCTCTTTAAATATTGTTCTACATTTTTCTTTTTCTGGCTCATCAACCCTTTGTGGGTTATTTAAAGCCAAACAATATTTTGGATTGTAGGAGATTGCTTACAGTATCTGGTATTCCACAGTGGTCACCCATCTAAGTAATAACTTAGCTTGATGCTGCTTAACTTCAGCAATTGAATGAGAATCAGTGCTTTCAGAGTGATTTGTCCGTAGTCCCCAGTATATCTTCCTTTGTATTTTATCAGTTCAGCAGTAGTCATTTATCTTGCATACTGAGAGCTAGCCTACTCTTGCTGCTTGGATATTTATATAATCTAGGCCTTAGCTATGCTAATTAGGCAGTCATTACACTACATCCCCTTTAAGATAAACAATACAAACCAAAGTTTAATTCCTTCCAGAGTCATTCAGTTTCCTATCTTGAATTCCACAAATATTACATGGATTATTCTTAATTTTTAGCTGCAATTGATAAATGCTTCCCCAGGCCAAACAAAAGGAAATGAATAGGAAGACTGTGTTACACCAGTCTTCCAAATAGCCTACTTTGAAAATCAACATTTGAAACTTACAATTATAATATATTACTTTTCTCAGTGGCTGAAAAAGTTATTTGTAAAAACAAAATGTTTTCCTTCACTCTGTTTACAATATGATTGGTCACATTAATTGATTTTGCCAGAAATTCACCATAATAAATATAAATAAGTAGAAAACTTGAAATGTTTTATTTACTATTTTTACATTGTTTGGACTGTTGTCCTCATCTTTATTTCATATTTACAATGTTTTGGCCATTGTATTCTCTTGCCTTCTTCAGGTGATATACATTGGAATTTCAAACTGAACCTTTAGTAACTCAACTATCCAAGGACACATGGCCCAGTGGATAAAAGCGTTAGTTGAAATCCAGTAACTTGACTCAAAAGAGTTGTGAGTTCAATACCTAGCCACAAAAACTTGGAAAATGAGTTACTAATAGAAAATAATTGAAACTGATATCTAGAAAGGTATGGCATGTGGAAATAGAACATTATCCTGAAGTACGAAATAAAGGGTTTGGTTCAAAATTCCAAAAAATATCAACTGAAGAAGGCTGAAGCATACAATGGTTGAAACGTTGTGAATATGACAATGAAGATGAGGACAACAATCCAAACACTGTAAATAGTTACAATACCTCATCTCAGAAATATAGATAAATGTTGAAATGTTTTGTTGTTTACTTTTTATATGAACTGATCATTTTTGTTCTATCATCAAGATTAATTTCTACCAACCAATACTGTTGTCACAATTGCCTTATTACTGCTTGGAAAGGCATGATCTCTCCTGACTGTCAGTCCTAGAGTTGGTCATCTTCATGTTTGTCACTAGTGTACAGAATGCTATTCAAAGGAATAAGTGCCAATGAGATTAATGCAAATTGTTTGCAGACATTTCCATACAAAATAATATCAACAGCAACAAAAGAGTGAAAGGACAATTAAGCACAAGGGCCAACAAAAGCAATTCACTTTAACGTCCACCTCCCATTTTGGGGAGGAGGAGGTGATTATAATGGAATCTGCATCATTTTTACACATAAAAATAACTTCCTTTGTGACAGACCTAAAAAAATGACAAATGAATTGTCTTAGCATGGAATTAATTTGCATGCAACTGTCAAGTCATGGATAAAATATACCCAAATATCACTTTTCAAAATGAGGACTGAGTTAATGGATTTTACAACATTAATTGCCATTGGATTATTCAATGACAAAAACATTTTTTTTTATACTTCAGTGTATAAGGAAAACACTGGGCATGTCTGTACTCGAGTCAGCGGGCAAACGTCGGGCATGTCTGTACTCGAGTCAGCGGGCAAACGTCGGGCATGTCTGTAAACGCAGCGGGCAACGTCGGCATGTCTGTACTCGAAGCAGCGGGCAAACGTCGGGCATGTCTGTACCGAGTCAGCGGGCAAACGCCGGGCATGTCTGTACCGAGTCAGCGGGCAAACGTCGGGCATGTCTGTACTAGAGTCAGGGCAACGGCCGGGCAAACGTCGGGCATGTCAAACGCTAGAGTCAGCGGCAAACGCCGGGCATGTCTGTACTAGAGTCAGCGGGCAAACGTCGGGCATGTCTGTACCAGAGTCAGCGGGCAAACGTCGGGTATGTCTGTACCGAGTCAGCGGCAAACGTCGGGCATGTCTGTACCGAGTCAGCGGGCAAACGCCGGGCATGTCTGTACTCGAAATCAGCGGGCAAACGTCGGGCATGTCTGTACTCGAGTCAGCGGGCAAACGCCGGGCATGTCTGTACTCGAAAGTCAGCGGGCAAACGTCGGGCATGTCTGTACTGAGTCAGCGGGCAAACGTCGGGCATGTCTGTACTCGAAGCAGCGGGCAAACGCCGGGCATGTCTGTACTCGAGTCAGCGGGGCAAACGTCGGCAAACAGCGGGCAAACGTCGGGCATGTCTGTACTAGAGTCAGCGGGCAAACGTCGGGCATGTCTGTAACGCCGGGCAAACGCCGGGTATGTCTGTACTAGAGTCAGCGGGCAAACGCCGGGCATGTCTGTACTAGAGTCAGCGGGCAAACGTCGGGCATGTCTGTACTAGAGTCAGCGGGCAAACGTCGGGCATGTCTGTACTAGAGAGTCAGCGGCAAACGCCGGGCATGTCTGTACTAGAGTCAGCGGGCAAACGTCGGGCATGTCTGTACTAGAGTCAGCGGCAAACGCAAATGTCCGGGCAAACGCCGGGCATGTCTGTACTAGAGTCAGCGGGCAAACGCCGGGCATGTCTGTACTAGAGTCAGCGGGCAAACGTCGGGCATGTCTGTACTCGAGCCAGCGGGCAAACGCCGGGCATGTCTGTACTCGAGTCAGCGGGCAAACGTCGGGCATGTCTGTACTAGAGTCAGCGGGCAAACGTCGGGCATGTCTGTACTAGAGTCAGCGGGCAAACGTCGGGCATGTCTGTACTAGAGTCAGCGGGCAAACGTCGGGCATGTCTGTACTAGAGTCAGCGGGCAAACGTCGGGCATGTCTGTACTAGAGTCAGCGGGCAAACGTCGGGCATGTCTGTACTAGAGTCAGCGGGCAAACGTCGGGCATGTCTGTACTAGAGTCAGCGGGCAAACGTTGGTTGTATATACACAAGTCAACAAGCATCTACCTGACAGGTGGGCCATTTAAGAGGGTTTATCCCTTCTGTGGGGGATGTAGTTTGCACATTCTAAGCTTTACTAACAGAGCAAAAAATCTAACACTGCTCATCACTATTATATAAAATGAAAGTTTTTATTAAACGCTAAAATGGCACATTACAAATTAAACTGACTGAAACTTTTCATCTATATTTGGTTTGATAATAAAACTTTACATCAGAGAAAAAAAACAAAAAAAACACCAGTCTACTAATGTTGGGGGTGCAGAAATGGGTGTGGAGCAGGAGGCAAGAGTACTTTTCCACCCACGTCCATTTAGGTAATGTTTACATGGGCAGATAATAGCTATTCTCTGGTTCCACCTTTCACTCTGAGTAACGAGCTAATGAAAACAAACTCTCAGAGACAGCTGAAAAATCACAAAGAAAGGTTTCAAGGTTGTTTCTGGAGTAAATTTCTTTGTTGACCCTTGAAACAAAACACTTTAAAGCAACATAAGAGTGAAACCCCCATGTCCTTAATATAAAAATGGTGGGTGGAAGGAAAAGGTTGGATGGAAAGAAAATGAAACAGGAGGCTTGGATTTGAATAAAGAAACCAGTAATAATAATAATAATAAATAATAATAATAATAATAATAATAATAATAAAATAAAACAGATGACTTATTTGTAAGTGGCCAAGGTCACAGAATTGAGAATTTTAAACCAATTCTCAATTGTACAGGGTTATATTAGCTAAATTGTGAATTCAAGCTCAAAGATAAGAAAGAGCATCACCATTTTGAACAGAAAATCTCCAGTGTTTCATGGAGGATAAAAACCTAAAGTCTTAGTGAAAATAAGTTTAGAATCACAGACATTTTTATTAAGTAATCTTGAAGCTTGCATAAATCACACACATTTTATTCTGAAAGTTTATTTATAACAGACATTTTATAATGAAACATTTTATGTGAAAATTTAAGAATTTATACAGGATGACTTCACGAAAAATCTCACTTTTTTTTCTTTTTTTTTTTTAACTTCCAATAACTTCTTGATGTTTTGTTTTAATTTTTTTTTTAAGATCCATGCATTTCATTTAGTTTTTGCAAGTCAAGAAACATTAAAATTTCTTAATTTCAACCATCAATTTTGATAAAATCTTTTTAATCTTATTAACCTAGATTGCAAGTCAATAAAGGAGTTGACTGTAGTCAGGATCATCAAGTCAATGTGATTGATTCTTTCCTCAGCTTCATAGTATGTGCTTTGCCAGGGCTACATGCAGTTTTAAATTCAGCATTTTTCTTTCTTCTAGACTGGTTGCTACTCAGGGCTATGAAACCCAGTCTGTCCTACTATTTACCCATAGCTGGGAGGAGAAGAGTTGGATTTATACCTTTCCAAAGGGTATTAGTACATAAGTGAATTTAATGAACTTGCATGGAATTTGAACGTGGCTCTCCAATTCCTCAATCCGAGCCACAATCCATTACTCTACCGCACCTCCTAATAAGTCAATGAACACTGCATTTATTATCATTTAAAGAGTGTGTACATTTTTTTGGATACCCTGTGTATAAAGAAACTCCTTCCCAGTGAAAAGTTATTTATTTAAATCATAGAAATTTCATAAAGAACCTTTTTCCTGAGTGAAAAATTATTTTCATAGACATTTTATAAAGTAGTTTTTAGAAGTGAAAGTTTATTTAAATTATAGGAATTTTATAAAGAACCTCCCCCCCCCAAGTGAAAACTTTAGTTAAATCTTATATATTCTAGAAAGAAACTTTTCCTTCTTTGTACCATGTCCCTTCAGGAGGTGGGTGATCATAGCTCTCCACAATTTCCTGTCCTTTGTAGCTCTTAGTAAATTGTCTTTTTGCTATCTCTCCTAAACTTACTTCCACCATTCTTTTACTCAAGTTTGCTAGGTAGGCTATGCGCTGTTTAACATATCCTAGGAGTTTCAAATTTTCCAAGCCCTCTTTCCTAGAAACTTCAACCATCTCTTTCTGATAAGTTTAAGTGTTCTTTTTATTTCCATCTTTTCTAAAACTTTGTCATTGCTCACATTATCAATCCATGGTATTCTCAGCATCTTTCTGTAGAACCACATTTCTGTTGATTCAAGTATCTTCTTCATTTAGATGGATTATTTTAGTGGCACACCAATGCCAAGGGTCATCTTCTTCATATTTGAGGAGATTTCACTGCCATATAGAAGCATTAATATTACACAGCAATTCAGTACTCTTTTCTTCATTTATAATTAAAATTTTCCTGTTTCTTAATACTTTGCTTAACTTTGGGAAAGCATCTTTCGCTATCCCAATGCCCTTTAAGATTTGGTAATGCACTTTTTGTCCTTTGTTAAAATGCTTCCCAGATATTTAATATTTTGTACTTGCTTGATTTTGATATCTTCAATTTGTAATTTGCATTTTGGGCTGATCCTTTTGCTACCAACCATATGTTTTATCTTCTTGCAGTTGATGGTTAGTCCTTTTCTCTCTCTTTCTTTGATTACTGTGGTGAATACAAAATAAAAATAACTATTTTCTCCAGTTTTCAAATTTGTGAGCCTATGCAAAAATTTATTTTGACCAATAGAAAAAGAGATTGGCTCCAGGCTGAAGAAAAGACCAGGGCAAAGTTTAATAAGCCTATGTGAAATTACTTTTTGATATAAATAGGCAGAAAAAGTTGAATCAAGGCAGGGAGAAAAAAAAAGCAGAAAGAAGCAGGAGGCAGAAAGCCAGAGTTCCACAGGTCTGAATAATACCAGTGTCAAATACATTATCAGCCTCTAATGAGAACAGGGTAATTTCAAAGAACTCTATTCCACTCCAAAGCTAAGTACCTTAAAATACATCCTTTCATTCATGTGTAACTTTTATGTGAAAAACAAACTGTCTCAATTTGTTTTAAACATTACTTGATATTAATGATTTAATATGAACATCTTCCTGACAATTCACCTAAACTACAAACTTTAAATAATTCCATTTCCTGAAACAAGCTATTGACAACTTCAAATGTGTAAATTTGTAAATAAATTCCTTATCTTGTTTCATTAAATATAACACGTGTTTCCTCGTCATTATCCCTTAATACTTCATTAACTTCTGTAAGAGTTCCTGTAGTTTCCTTTCTGAGTCAGCTATCAGCACTATGTCATCTGTGTATCTTATGTTGTAAAGATTGTGGCAACCAATAATAAATCCTGATAGGATTTCTAATTCTCTCAGAATCATCTCACTGAAAAAGTGTTGAACAAGTCTGGTGAGAAGACATTGTCTTACACACCTTTCTATTTTTGTAGATTTACTGAATTCATTTTCTATCCAGCTTGCTACCACTATAGGTTCTGGATTATTCTAATATCTTTCTCAAATATGTCAAGGTCTAGCAGTTCCAACAATTCTTTGTAACATATTTTATCAAAAGCTTTTACATAATCTTTAAGACACAGGTATACATCCTTTTGCATTTGTATTGCTCTTTTTGATATTATTTGGAGAATAAATATCGCATTCCTTGTTCCAATGTCTTTAATGAAACCACGCCCTTTTTTTTCTTATGAAAATTTATTTAAATCACAGGAGACATGTTATCAACAAAAAAAAATTTTTTGGTTTAAATTTAAACCATGAGATGTTTTATTAAGAAACTTTTTTAAATTAAAGTTTATTTCGAAACACATATGTTTTATAAAAAAATCTATCATAAAATGTTGTTAGTAAAGAAACATTTTCAGGGTTTATTTTAGGATATTAAAGTTTATTCAAAGAACAGACCTGAAGATTTCTTCATACACCCGAAAAATCCCATATCCATTGGATTATAAATCTAATATAGAAACTTCAAAGTTTGTGTGCCTGTTTGAAAACCTGGAAATTTATTAAAAATATAAATTTGTGTGTGTACACACACAAATATTATATGAATCTGTGATATTAAAATAACATTATCATTTAGAACCAGCAGCATTTGTCTCATATCCTGCCCAAATTATTGGTTCCTGCTGAATGAAGATAATTTGTATATTTAGCTGTAAAATGAAATTCTTTAAAAATAACTGTTTTTCAATTTAGTCTTTAGTGATTGTTTTGTTGGTAGGTTTTATAATTAAACTGTTTAGGTGTCCAAATAAAGCCATTTTATTTCCTTAAAGTTGTTTGCCTTTGGATGACAGGTGTAAAAAGAGATAAGTAATGTGAACATTTTCAGCCACATATTTTTTTAGAAGGTATTTCCATTTTTAAAAATATTTGTTTTTAAATTCTGGTCAGTAAAATAAAATAATTCAAATTGTTTTTATTAATAGTAGATTTATTTATCTTTATTGTGCTTCTTTTTTTAAAAAATAATTTCACCCCAAGCAGGGCGGTGATACCACTAGTATGCAGGGGGTTACAGGGAGTGAAAGAGAATGAGAATACTGATAATAGGGAGGAGGGAGGAAAAGAAAGGAACAGGTATCAGAAAGACAGAAAATGGTGATTGATGCTGCATTTAAATTTTTGAAGATCATAGTTATCAGGGAAGCAAGAAAATGGAAGGGAGTTCCACAGGTGGGAAGTATGAGAAAAGAAACTGTTGGAGTAGAAGTGGCAGTTGCATTTAATTATTTCAAAAGTAAAATGGTGGGACTCAGTTGCCAAGCTAGTAGCACAGTTAAATTCATGTCAAGCACCAAGGAATAAAGCTTGTCAAGGTAGTTGTCATGAAAATATTTGTAGAAAAGACAGAGGGAAGACATGTCATGTCAGTGAGAAAGTGACTAAGGTCGAGAT